TACCTAAAGCTTTTTTGTGAAGTTACCAAAATTGGCTAAAAATTAAACTTCTTAAGTTGGCTGAGTATATGTATTTCCTAGTCGGTGAACTTGTTTCTTATTCTATTTCCCTTTTAAAGATTTTTTGTGCTATTCTAAGTTATATGCACTTGTTCATATATATGATTGAAAAAAAACATGGGTTCGTAGGCTTTGTCAATGGTTAAATCCTACCTAGTATGTATTTGTAGGAAACTTCAGTTATATCCTTTACAATCCTAAAATTACTAATGATTTTCAAAGCTTGTAAAATATGATCGGGGGAAATCTCAAACTTTTATACGGTTGTGCCGCTTAAAATTCAAAATTAAAGTAACCGGCAGGTTTACTTAGCATTATACTTAGTGCCTCAAGTAAACTAGTAGTTGTTATTTGATTTTCAATATATAGTAGTAAGGTATTACAGTTATATTTCGCTTTTTGTCGTTCAAGGTACAGCCGACTCGCAGTATATATTTAAGCGGACAGTCACTTTTTTGTGTCCTAACTCGTAGGTGAAACATCAAGCTTTCTTTCCAAACAACATGCTGAAGGACGATTGTTGGAGAAGCGTGGATATGTATTTTTTTCCACTAGACTTAAATATTTCAAACAAGTCCTTTCTATTTTGGTGTAAGGGGTTGTAGAGACTGTTGAGCATCGTACTTTACATCAAGAACAAACTGCACTCGAACAACAATCAATGAACACTAGGTGACTGTCTCGTCCTAGCATGGGGCTCGGCAGCGTGTATCGATGAATTCGCCGCGGTCAGACCGAAAATCTTCAGTGAGTGCTTAGCCACTAACCTGTTACGGAATGGTATACACTTTCAACTTCAATTAATTTGCAGCATTGTCTCCCAACTACTTCATTCGACACGTCTGAGCTTCACTGGTCACTAGAATTCTATGAATTACCCTTCGAAATTGGCCACTAGTAAGAACACAATTTTTACTAGTATTAATGTAAGCGGTTTGTAGGGTTTGGTGATTTTTGAATTTACAACAAAAATAAATTAGTTAGACAACTATTGAAAACCCAGAGGCATGTTACTTCATATTTCGCGGATTTCGAAGTTAGCACCCGATCTCCTGAGTATCATACAAATTTCTGTACAATGACACGGTTGTTAACAGATAAGTATCTAGCCTACAATATAGAATATAATATTATTTGGTAAAATATCTGTGTATTCGTTATTTTATGAACCTTCGAACTTGGTGTTTTTACACCGTCGTACATTTATTTTCATTGTTGTGAGGTTGTCTATCCACTCTTTGGTGAGTCTATTACCATCTTTAATGTGAGACTGCAAACATATACTTGTGCAGTATTTCATGTTATTGTGTACTCCAAAAATATACTGCCCAGACATAATATGACATCTTTGTAATCATACTGAAAATCAAGGGAACAGAAAAAACTGGAATATTAAAAGAATTAGTTGATGTCTTAAAATTATCTGTCGAGTAATTCTTGACGCACCACATGTAGTCTGCTACCCAGGCGCAGATATGTCGTGTGCATTCAAAACATGATTTTATGAATTTGGGTGACAGAGGGTCGATACAAAAATTGTGGCTTAACGTTCAGAAAAAGTTACATTAATTGCTGAATTGTATATTAACACGTTTACCGAATAGAAAACAAATAAGTTATAGTAAAATCATTGTTGACTAAAGAAACACTTTACCTAATTTTCTTACTCATTATTTCAAAAGGATACAGTCGGATATCTCGCAATACCTTGGTAACTTGTAATTTCCGTTATCCCACTTTTGTTCTCATCTTTGAGCTTTGCTCATTTTACTACTGAAATTAATTCTCATTTTCTAGAATTCTCACACTAACATATTTGTTTAATTCGACATTTTATAGTCTTCCTATATTTATTGTTATCTGGCTAATCTTCGTTATTATGACATAAAATACGTACATTGATTGCAGTGAATTATTATTTCTAGGCTGTAAGCAGCTGAAAGGAAATCACGAAACAAATGAATTCATCATATTCTACTACGTTTGTCGTTCTTGCTCTAGACAAACACAATTTCCATCATCCCTTAATTGATAGACGGATATCTCACCCTCGCCATAGGTGATGTAAGTTGGCAAAAGCCAAACGAGCTTTTTGAATCCGTGTAGGGATTTCGTCAGACACTAACCCAGTAGGGCTGATCAGACTTCAAAGATAAGCGAGGTTGTCGACGCGTTTGACTACCTCACCTCCACAGGATTTATTGTCTGAACTCAAAATTTACATTCACGGTGGTTAAATCATTGAAATCTCCAGGTCCTATAACACATTCATACTAGGACCAAGTGTTTGAGCATTGAAACTCGGTATAAATGAAGAATAAAAACCACAAATCGACGGCATTTAAGTGCTCCACAAAAGTCACGAAATATTTCATAGAATATATTTAAGTAAGAGTTGCGTACCAGAAGCAATTTTCATTTGTATATTCCATAAATTAAGTTGTAGATCTTATTTCGAAAACAATGAATATAATATGCAGGGCGCAGAAAGTCGATGGTACGGTTGACTTGAAATGAAAATATCAATTGCCCACAAATCACATATACAGTGTATTTAGATTTAAATTATTTGAATGTACTTAATTAATCGTAATCAACACAGAATCTGGCAATGTGAATGAGCTTGTTGCCATATAAATTAGCATAACGAGATAGAAATTAACGGGATTTGAATGCCTTAAATCTCAGAGTTGCTGCGACGCAGCTAAGGCTTGATGGAGTGAACATTCGAGTCCCACTAGTTCAATGACACATTTGAATTCCGCTACATTTGTTTGCATAAATAGGTTTTATCTTTATCCATTCGTGGTTATTTCGACGATATACTTGTGCTTTTCATAAATCGTAGACTTACGGGACAGCGTGTCCAACTGTGACTTGGCAAAAATTGCTTTGGACACACTCCGTAGGATCCTCCGATATTATCTTAATACTTTGTCCAATACATGAGTATGGCTACCAGCCGGTCAGGTAACAATATCCCATGGATTTGCTTTCAGAAACCTGAGGAAAAATATCTTAAAATTTTACAAGTTAATAAGATACTAAACAAAACTATCAGCAGATATATAAGAAATTCTGTCCAAATTTGATCGCATAGTTTCACAATATTTGGGCGCCGAATTGGTGTGAGACATTAAACATATCAGGAGTAAAATAGATATCGTACATGTTACCCAAAATCGTTTCTCAACATAAAGAATTGACTGGTGCTTAAAATCAGACTATTAGAATTCAACTCTCGAAATATTTGGTACGCTAAGATAAAAAAAAGAACAGAACCACATATGCAACTCATTGTGGCTTTTGTTCGATATTATTTTAGTTTTTAATTCAACATGATAACTAATCAGCATTGTATTTGTTTTAGTTTCAGTGCGATATTTATTTGTAGAGATACTAATCAATATATGCACACTAGTGACTGGCTTCAAGATGTATATCCTAAAGTTCTAGTGAGAAGCAGTGACTAGTGGATTTCAACCAGGTCTGTTGTGAGATAGTAACTCACTGATGACAATGATGGATGTATCACTCAATTTCGTGGATTATTTGAAGTTAGACATTAACACCGTTGGATGGCGGCTCAGCGGTCTAGTGGTTAAGCGCACGCGCCCGAGACTTATAGGCCTTGGGCTCGAACCTCGCGAAGGGCGGCATCGTAGATGCGCACTGCTGAAGAGTCCCACAGTAGGACGAAACGGACGTCCATCGCTTCCAGGTTTTCTAGCTTCAACTGAATCATGATCTTAACCATTGAAATTACTATAATATCCACAATACCCCTTCTGATATTAATCAATGAGTGTTAGTAAAATCAACATGTGTGTTTTTGTCTAAGGACGACGTGTTTTAAGAACATTTAGACAATTAATAAATCTTTATGTTTGCACTACTCATCGTGTGGAATGACAAGATCCTCGTTTTCAATGCATAAGGAAAGATATTACAAGAAAGCTGAAAACAGTATTTAAATGTTCATGATTTAATCGTGTTCAGATACCGTGTGTACCGATTAAACGTCGTAAATTAAGAGAAAAATAGCTATAACCAATTTCATAAAATATGTAATTCAATTGATTCATACAAAGAGAAAGCATAACATATTTATGTTTCTTACCTATATATCAGTCAGTCGGTAACAACGCAGAACTTCGTAAGTACGTACATCGGTTCGAGTTGCCATACCACACTAGCAAACAGATACAATTGATGATTCAAACCCCATAATGGTAGATGTAGTAAGAGTATAAGGAGTCATCGGAAACATTAGGGTTTGAAGAGGTTATTCAAGGAGTATAATCCAGTGAAATAAATTTGGAAAGTGAAAAAAAAGGACATAAATAATTCAGAAGATTATAGTTTGAGAGGACAAAAAGAATGGATGCATCTCCGCCGTTTCAAACGATTTTGAGCCATGTCATTCAAAGTCTCTAACCATCGGTTGCTATAATCTCACGGATCCCAACCAGGTAGACTACACTTACCAACATGGCTCACTCCACTTGTTAGTGACTTTATGGATTTGTGCTCTGTTTTGGTCTGACCACCCGTAGCTTACTATATACAAACATGTGTATCATTTAATGAATTATATCACTTTTCAAAATGATAAACAATTATATTTACTTTAATGATCATTTAAAATCTAAATTGAATGTATTCAATATGTTTGTTAAAAAACAAAACAATTTGTAATGATCCAAAATCTGTAGAAATTATTATCGGTTAAATGTTCTAGTTGTTCAATTAAAAAAAGTAACAATACTTTAATATAAGAAGAGAGAATAAAACAATAACGACAACAACAATTAAATTTCAGATATTTGTTTCACTTTAATAAATCTAAATCTAAGAAATATTTTGGGCAAGACTATAATTTATGAATGAACTAATCAGGTTTAAAATAATAGATCTTAGATTGTAGCGCAAAATTTATTCAACTATTTGGTTAAATAGTTTTTGGTATTTTACCTAATATCAGCAACGTGATGAAGACCTTAAATTTAATTGTTGATTCTAATCATCTACTATAAATCATAATCTTTATTCTTTACACAGGTTTATAACTCTTATTTAGTTCGAGTAAGTTTGTAATGTCCGTTACTATGTTTAGCCCTCATACCTTATTCTAGCCTCTGGACAGATCAATTTATCCAAACTTCTTAAGTCATGTTTTAATCTTGTTAATTATTCACTTATCAACCCTGACTGTTTTTAGATGAGCGTATGTGTATGCAATTCTTATCCTACTCATCATATATCTGTAGGTTATTTTTGTGTGACTATAAATATAGATTAACGCTTGGTTAAATGGAGTTGATTCATACACCTTTTCCACTGTGCCTCGTTTCGCTTCACTCTCTTCTCTTTGATTATCTAATCTTTTGTCTGGATAAAAGATTGTACGAAATACACGTATTCGAAATTCATTCTCGTATTTGACTTACTTAATTCCATTATTCACTAACATGGACTAAGTCCATAATTATATATGAGAATATTTGGAATATATATTTCGATAGCAATCATTTAATAACGATCATTTGTCCAATCTAACTACAGTCAGAATTAGGGCTACAAAAGTGGTGATCTCATCGATAACATCATCCGATCTAATTGACATCAAAATGAAGGACCCCATAAGTTGGTAGACATCTTCAAAGTCACTTACGAGTCATTCATAACTTGTCTCAATTGTAAATTTAATAATAATGAAAGAAAGTAAGAAATGAAATTCATTCCGGAAAAAAAGAACACAAAATAAACCGAAATATATTACTTATTCAATTTAATCTCATTAATTGTGATTTAAAATTTACATTAATACAAATATTTCTAGAATTATTTACTAAATTATAAGCATTATCATATGAATAATTATAAAATTTCATTAAATAAGCAATTATAATAGATGGTGAACGTGAAATACCAGCTTCACAATGTATAAAACAACAACCCTTAGTTTGTTTTACAATATTTAAAAAATTAAAACAATCATTCAAAATATCATTTAATTGAAATGTTAAATTATCATAAACAATAAGTGATAAATAATGAAAATATTCAGGAAAATAATTTGGTATTATATTTGAAATAAGATTAATGATATGTGTAACATTATTAATTTTTAATAAATTTAAATTTTGAGCTACATCAACAGAACCTACAATAAGAAAACATGTAAACATATAGATAATCAATTAGCAAAAATGTAGAACTTCATACATACATACGTACATTGCCCTACCCCCAAATACCCTGGTACGGCTGAGAATGGGAAGACTTAGCTTTCCCTCTCAAAATACTTTCACATAGCCACACGCATATAGCCACCGCCAGGGAAGTCCTACACACTGCCTTTTCGTGGCGGTGTTGTTTACGAAACTGAGAGGACGAAAGGCGAATGTCCGCCGCTCTAACCTGATCGGTGGACATGGAGAGTTCACCTAGGGAAGTTGAAAAACTTTGATTCCAAACCAATGGTGCACATGGGCTCCAGTATCCTACGGGAACAAATGGTGTATGAACCAATCGTTAGTCACCGGCTTCCATGGGACTTTATTTCCTTACGATGCTCAACTGCCTTGTGGACCAGACCTTCAGGTCGAAGGCTCCGGGTGTCTCCCCCAAAACCACCTACTTCAGTTTGGGCACCTGGGTAGTATCACAGCTTTCACACAAATCAAATGAGATTTGTGTGGCGCATATGTATCTGGTGCCCCCTTGTACAAATACCTGTGTTCAAATAATAATAATAATAATAATAAACGTACATCAATCCGAGTTGCCATACCATATTAGCATAGAGATAAAATTGTCAATTCAAAATCCCATAATGGTAAATATAGTAAAAAGTATAAATAGTAATTGGAAAGATTACGGTTATTAATTATTTCATATATATTCAATCAAATTAACTTACCAAATAATATTGTAAATTCTGGAAGTTCTATTTTTCCTATTTGTAAATCCAGATTAAAATTTGGAATAAAACCATAAGAAGAAAAATTAGATTCTAATTGATTAGATTTATCATTTTTTTCAATTTCTGATCCATATTTATTCACTTTAATAATTGATCCATCTAATTGTCGAACTTCTATAAGTGTTGGTTTTAAAGAATTCATATTGAAACATTGAATAGCATCTTTTATATTATTCATAAGTTGTTTTATTGAATTAAACCTGAAATATTGAATTGAATAATTTTGGCAAATAATTTAATTTAAATGCAAATTATTATATAACATGATTTGAGAATATTTAATTCTATAAACATTTAACAAATTCATCATATTAAAACTACTTTTCCTTTTTGAACAAATTTAAATTTAATAAATTCTTTGTGTCAGGTATACTGAAATTTCGTTCTTATTGTTACCCTTAACATTATTGTTGTCTGATTAGTTTATTCATGTTTTAGTTAGCCTATCTCTAAGAATATTGTAAATGGATGTATATAGAATGGTTATGCCTTTGTTTTATCTTATCTTTTAGTCAAGGTACTTCAGCCTAAATGAGTCTAGAAGTGGATAAATGTTGTTATTTCCAACAACCATGGCATCCAGTATTTCAGAAGACGAGATTTCTAATTCAGATATAGCAATTTACATAAATTTATGGTCAATACTAATACTAAAAATATCAAGGATTGATAATAACTTTTCCAACTACGGGGCAAAAACTAATGTTAGTTGTCAACAGTAATATGAAGCTTTTAGTAATTCAATCTAAATACATTTCCACAGGATAACCGTACACTAACAGCATAATGGTAACCCACTCTTATCATTCAAATCAAGACAGAATGGTGAATAAGTGATTACACGAGTCACAGTTCAACTACTATCGAGAAAGTTCAAATACTATTACACTTGATCTAGGAAAACATTTATAACTGCCAGACGTTACAAAGCGTAGCTCGAACCTGGGAATATCAACCCAAGCTACCTACGTTGCTACAATACAAAACCATTAATGAGCATTTTGTAGAAAATTCATGATATCTGTGTAATTTTATACAATAACTAATTCAGACAAGCTATCACTGAAGTTGTTAAAAAGTTTGATAGTTATATATGAGTGGTGTTACTTTCAGACCACCGTTTACTGTGCACAGTTCAAAGGAAATCGGTGACAAAGTAATTAAGTATATAACTTTATGTTTACTCTTATATTTGTCCTTGCAATCATATCTAGAATAAATTACATATTCTGTACAATATAGATTCGCAGTAACTTCGTGAATACAATTGGTCAGGGTAAAGAGCTATCATTTGGTATCTCTGACCTCATCAGTAGTAAAAATTTAGATATAAATGGCAAGAAAAACTAGCCATTAAAAACATCAAAACCCAATAGTTCAGTTGCATTGAAATACTCACAAACTGTTTTTGTAGGAGAAACTTGGCACAGTAAACTTTGTGTTTACGGAAGCATAAAAAATGTGGTGAGGTGTATTTGAGTCGAATCCAGTATTGTTGATTATCTTGATTTTAGTTACATCGAGAACTAATTCCCTTCGATAGATAGTCAAATATTTGTTTATTAATTTGTATATGATCTCTTTTTAACAACATCTGCAACCAACCATAACACTTTTGAAACATATGTCGCATACGAATAACTAGTAATTCATATCGAAACTGCAACTTTGTAAGGTTAATAACCGTGACTAAATCTTAGGTGTTATAGTTAGGTTATCAAGGTATGTTTGGATTTAGCAGGGTAACTAAATATTTTTACGCACTAGACATAATTAAATTGATTTATTTAGAAGAACGACTCATTAATACATTTTACGAAAATATTTACCAATAATATCTACACACTAGAGACAGCTAAACGTAAGTAGTGTAACGGTTACAAATTTGGCAGTAAGTCGATGTCGAACTTTAGATGTACACTTTTCCCTAACGTGTCTACGGACCTACCTTCCGCCGAAACATTTCCTGAAAAATAGTACATACTGTCCCCAAAATTCATACCCCATAATGAGGAAAAAGACTTTTCTCTTAAATTAACACACGATTCCCCTCTCCACCTAGTTTTCCACTTTTTTGTCACTTGGGGGTTAAATTTATGGTAGGAAAGGCATACTGAGACCTTTTGTTCACGATCTAGCCGAGCTTTAACTTAAACTTACCTCGTAACCTCTTCAAACTTCCGTAAAATCTAGATCGATGGCAGACCATTGGGTTTGACACAGTTGGCTGACACTCATCTCTTATAAGTCTCTTGATGTACAACATGATATGTCTAAAGGATATGTTGACATTATATAGACTGCACTAAAGGAATAATCGAAAAATTTTATAACGAGCGAAGCCCACCTACATGGGGCTCAATTTAAGTCACCTGTAACGTTTAGCCTCAGGAGGGTTTTCGTTTGACTTGAAGGTATTTTATCTGCTGAAGGGGTAGAAGCCAGTCAGTCAACTACAACGTACGACCAGGCATACATATACATCGGTTCAATTCGCCAAACATGATTAGCACAACAAGATGAACAAAGAATTCATATATGAATTCGTTGTTCTATTATAGTAGTTAATTCAATGGAGGTTATATATATAAGAAAAATTGTGTATAGAAATATAGTACAGGAATAAAGAATAAGTTCGTAGCAAGAAAGATACACAGCAATTTCGATATCATAGTTTAAGGAAAGACAGAGAATATATATACACACAATAGCGATCGATTCTGAGCAATGTCATCCAGTCTCCAACCATTGGTTACGATAGTCACACGGACCACAGCCAAGTATTCTGGATTAACACTGGCATTTCTTACTGCACATGAACTTACGTGCTACAAAGCAGTCTGCCCCACGAAAGTTACAAAACAACTAATAATAAGGAATTACATTCTTCGAATTCTAAAGCCTAAAAGATATTACTGGGCGGGTTGCAAACAAACTAGTCACCACAGCAGATAAACGGAGTTCAAGCAAGGAACCTATACATTGAAACACTAAAAGATAGGGCGAGACTCTAATTTAAGGATGACCTTTGAACGAATCTTAAATGACCTTGACAATTATTAGCCAATCAGAAGAAAGTTAGTATAAAGTGAAAATATATTATATGAAAGTAATGTATTACAGTGGATATTCTTCTTTTGCATGATTTAAAAACTTGTTAAAGTTTGATTAAGGTTCAGAGGTTCTGAATTCACAATGCATATGGAATAGAAACTCGTCCATTGGGTTAGGGTTAGGTTTACAGGTAAGGTTAGGATTAGTTGAGGGTTAGGGTTAGGATGCTAACATACGAGTTTTCAAATCATGTAAAAGAAGAATATCCACTGTAATTCATTACTTTCTTTTAATATATTTTTACTTTATGCTGTCTTCTTATTGACTAATAATTGAAATTGCTCAAACGCTTCTGATTGGCTCGTCCCTAAATTAAAGTCTCGCCGTCCCATCTATTGTAACCTCTCGTTAATCACCTACTCTCTAAAATGCACTGTGAACCAATCGTATGTTAGCATCGCGTTTTGAACTTGGCTCCGTGACCTCGAAATCGCTCAAACGCTTCTGATTGACTCGTCCCTAAATCAGAGTCTCGCCAAAGATAGCCTCATTATCAAACAAAACTATTCGAATGATTTGTCCCTAATCCGAAAAGCCTAGTCTGTCATGCAGACTATCTTCCCAGTTGTTAGACCCTAATGGCCCAACCGACAACGATAGTGGTGCTGCAGAAGTTCTGGTGATACAGTATTAAAGGCACGGGAAAACGTCAGAGCCTTTCGAAGATGCCCGCTTTTTCGTTTCAATGACCTTGAATGGTCTGACAAGAGGCGGTCATTCCGTATTTCGATTGCCATGGGTTTGTTCGGTTGCATGGGTATCAAGTGTTTTCATGTTTTTCATATTGCTGCGTTACAAATCACAAGATAACCGCCAAAAGCATTAATTTAGCATTCTCTGTTTTGTAGTGTACACGTTGGCTCTACTGTCGCTTCGTAACTTGATCTGTGGTCCCAACTGCTGTAGTAAACCTCAAAGAAATGTCAAGTCACCGGTAAGTCTTAAATATTTGTAGTACGTCCTTGGGTTATTATTGTTTCAAGGAATAACTTTTTTAGTAATATTGATTTCGGTTTTAAGTGCTTCATGCTCAAGTGACATTTCAGTCGAACTTAGCGATGCTTTTCAAAGTATGATACTGAAGCGTTATTTAAAAAGGACAGTGGTATATTTCCTCGTTGATTAAATTTCATTGTTTTGATCGTTTATTGCTTATCAAGACTACTGTTTTCACTTTAATTGAATTCATTTCAGTTAAAGTATTCGACTAGTGTATCATTTTTACCGTTCTCTCAATTAGTTTTATCGTTGGTACTCTTGAGTACCTCATTTTCAACTGTATCTGTTAGTGCTTTTGATCCTAACAATCTGCAGTTCTTCACTTTTTCGTCATTGATTATTTTTTTGTTTCTGAGTATCATCGCGTCTCGTTCCTTTTTGAAAAAGACTCCTTTTAAATGACCGGACAGTGTATAAAAAGCAGTTGCCAACGTCCGGGTTGTCGTTATCCCTTTGAAAGCGGCATGCAGTGCGACGAGTGCAAAAGCTGGTACCACGACGTTTGCACGGACTTAACGCCTGCGGCTTTCAAACGGTTCAGTGAGAAGGGTTGCGTATGGCTTTGTCAACAGTGCTGTTCGGACGCAAACAGCCTGTTAGCCGAGGCCATCTCACTGGTTGATGCTGCAACGAAGTGTTTTAGCAAGCGTAGTTGGAACACGTCAAACAGCACTCGATCTGTCGACACGCGAATCGACATGAAGCAAACTAAGGTTAGTTCGATAACAGACTCACGCCGGTCAAAGAAGGAAAAGCAGTCTTCAAAGGAGCCTGCCTTAAACAAAAGCTCAAGGAAAGTAGATTCTTCTGTTCCCCGTCTCCCAGATGGGATCCCACAGGAAACGCCTAGAAGCCGCAATCGCAAGGCTCGATCGGTTTCAAGCGGTAAACATAACCTGACCTCTCAGGTCGTCGACAACCTCCCAAAATCCGACACTAGGTTTGACGCAACTATTGTTGCTTCTCCCAGCACCGTTGACGAGTGGGTACAGGTTGTAAGGAAGAAAAAAGTAGCGATATAAACGGTAATCCTACCCCGGCGAAAGCAGTCGTAAAATCGAAAGC